GCTCAGCTCCCGTTTCTCTCTCAAGATCAAAGTGCGCCGGCCCCACGAGGCACGTTTTCAGGGGCGTTGCACAAAGAGACGAAAGGGGCACCTGATGGGAATGTTTCTCAGAGTCGTCGCCTCTTATTCTCATTCTTCGTGTTCGCCCGCTGGTCTCGCTATCCACTGCCCCACGACAACCCCAGTATCCTCTCACAGTTCGATTGGCGCCCAGGTAGCCCGCAACGATGTCAACAGCTGTTTACCACACTACAGATTCCGTTGATTTAATAACAAATGTTCACATTTCGATATAATTTCGTTCCCCATGTTGAGGGTTGGGTCGACCAGACTGTCGTGTTTCAACAAGACTTTACTGTGTTCACCCACCACATTCCGAGTCAAACAATTTCTCTCTCTCTCTCTCATTTGTCCTCACATTGCTCGTCTCTTTTCCGAATCCGTTATAACCTCGCTCGGCTCAAGGCATGTATTAACTCATATATTGTACCTTCAACAATGCTGTTTGTTGCTGGCTGCTTACTGTTGAGGACCTTTGCTCAGCAACCACAACACTGAGAGGCAACCCTTGAGAACGCGACAAAAATCGTCGACGTGTTACAGCAGGCAGTCGCAGAAACATTCTCAGAACTTGCGCATGCAGCAATTATGCCGGGACTCTTGTTATTGCATCTTCAACATTCCTGACGAAATCACAAGTGACCTTTAATAAGGTCTTCAACCACTGACACGCACATGCCGCGTACACATGTGGAGGAAGCATGGCCCTTGGTTTAGAATATATCGATGGTGCTTGCTTACAGTTTTCTTGAGCTGGACTATCCGATTAATTAAGTTATCAATTACTCGACTGATAATCCGTTTGATTACTAAATCACAAAAAAGTTTCACTTCCGTTCCTACGTCTGGCACTGGATGGATTGGGGTGATGGACCGGGATGTGACGCTGGGCGGAGCTTAGAGCGGGGGTTTCCCACCTTCGACACGCACGGGGTCAGCACCGGGCCGCTTTCGAAAGGGGCTCGAGTCGTCGACCGCAAAACACGAAGCCGATTTCAGTCCTTAGTCGACCAAGAAATTTAATCGTCCAAATGTAACATTCTACTTGCATGTTTCTGCCGCGTTGACTGTTACACCATGTGTGTTAAGTTATTATTTATATGTTTTACATTCCCCTCTCTTTTTTCCCTCTATTTATTTTTGTTGGTAAAAGAATGTAGTCAAGTTTTTTTTTACGTTTTCGACTTCCCTATTCCTGTAACATAAAGAGTGCGTGCCAATACGTGCCGTTTGTATCGCGACCTTTGTAGCCACGATTGCAACTGAGATCTGTACTGTGCAATGCCACCCGTACTGTCGCAGGACGCCGCCGCTAAAATAGAACCAAACAGCTCAATGGACCCTTCTTGCTGAAATAAATGTAATCTAAAAAACACACATCTAAAGAACCAATCCTTCTTGCTCACGCATTGCAGCACTCCCTGAATGCGGAGGCAGAGTCGAGGGATTTAGGTGTGAAAATAGTCCGTCAACCTTTTGGCGTGACCCTTGCTGGGAGTGTACGGTTGCACACACACACACACACACGTGTCCTTGACGTTGTGTCCCAGCCCTATCGCGCACCACAGACCGTCCGACTATTCAGCCAAAGGCGTATTAATGTGGCATTGTGGGGCGAAAACCTAACACGGGCGGTGTGTCTGGACTAGTAGCAGAGTTGTGTAATCTTCTATCCAGGTGCACGCAGTTGATGAGCGCGATGTACCTGCTGTGTAACGCAATACCAGCGACCTTCCCGTGTTCCACATGCGAGAACAAAAGTGTAATATATAAAAAAACAAGGATCCACATCTGACACTCGACCACATTAAAGCAATGCCATCATATCAAAGCAAACAGGGCGCATTGCAATATAGCCATGGGGTTGAGATGCACTCTGATGTATACGTACCAGCGGATCTGAAGGTAGTTGTGTGAACGTGACCCAAAAAGAGATGATTAAAAAAATATTTAACAATTATGCGTTGAGGCTGACGTTGATAGGATGTTAAAGAGTTGCTTTGGTTGTAGCGTAAAAGTCAAATATGGTTGTATATGTAGGCATATGTAATTGTTTCCGTGTGTGGCAGTTGATACAATGGTGGTGGTGTCGTAAATACCACCCAGCCCTCAAGCCACCCTGCACCACGGTCAGTCACTCGGCAGGTGACCTGTGGTGGGGTGAAGTGTGGGGGTTCTCCCACCTCTTGTAGGATGCCTGGCCAGCATGGAAGAGTAGGCCAAATACAGTCTAGAGGGGCTGTCTAGAGCTCCCTCTGGTGGCGGCCCTTCTGCCAGCAATGGCGTGAGCAAGCAATTGCAGGGCTGCACCTTGAACTTTTACCTTCTACTACCGCGTCGTGTTCAAGTTTGGGGCCTTTTCCTAAAGTTGTACATTAGCACATATAAGGTTACCGGAAGACACGTCACATACCGTGTACGCAATATGAACACAGTACGTATATGTACGTGGCAGTGCTACATTTTACCCAACATTAAATTATACGTAGCTGTCGTAGCAAATCAACATTAAACGTAACAAAATACAGCTGAACATTTTAGGCGATATTTTCATTTTGGAGTTAAAATTCCATCATAAACCATTGTGAACAAAAAAAAGAAAGCCGAGGCACTGTACGATAACTTTAAACGAGACCATTATGCAAGGTGGCCCATTCTCCACGGGGACCTCGCCCCGAAAGCCCTCGTTGTGTTTGCCAAATGGGTTCCGGCTGATCCTATTACGACTTCCAATGACTTTGCTAAAAGGGCGCCGGGTCCGCTTGAGCCTCCCCCTTCGTTCGGCCTGAGCCCTCCATAGAACTCCCCGATGTGCTTCCACCACATGACACTGCCAGGGTCTGAGCAGCGGCTCCCAAGAGAAGCGCTGGCGAGTTGGACACCCACTTGGGCGATCTCCCATGGCCACAAGTTACAACATATTCGCATTGGCTTGAGAAAAAACATTTGTTTCAAGTGCTAGGGTGGGTAACCAGTGTTGGTTTATAGTCTGCAGTGTTTTCTAATAAATGTGGTCTGAGACTTTGTGAGCCTAGTCAATGGCAACCTGTTGCATTTTTTGTCGAGTTTTTTAGTTTGTAAATAAAACGTACTCATTCTCTCGTCGACTAAAGCAGTCACGAATGTCGTCCACCTTTGGTTATTAACTATCAGTAGTGAGGGGTGTGAAATCCCCATACTACACCAACATATCATCAGGTCAGCTAATCAGTGAACTTGGCAAAACTGTTTACATAAATGCTGTGTCTAGCCAATTTATACTTTTACTCTTCCTCAGTGCACTACAATCTGGCAGTTGTGGTCAATGCCACGCTTGGTGATCTCTGTCCACTCAGAGTCATCGTCGCGTCATATAAATACATTACTTTCTGTAGGTATTCTGTGGGTCTTTCGGCAAAGCCACGTTGATAGAAAAATAATAAAACATCACGACGTTTCGATCGCAACACAAGCGATCGTCTTCAGGTGAGGGCTTTCACGTCCCATATTATGAATCATCATCTCTTCCACGCGAGAGACGAGCTTTGTTAACAGCTGATGATGCTGGATCTTATCGCTGGCGAAACGTCGTTCAAAGCTGTCTGCATTTTTCTGGCCTTTCAACATTCCGGTTTGATAACTTGATTTGACTGGCTCTGTCGGGTGGTGGAGGGTTATTGTTAAAAAGTGACATCATACCTACATGATCTAACCCAAAATAAGCTAATAATACGATGACATTTTCGTCACTAATTTTTAAAACAAATATTAACATTTGTGCTCGACTGAGCAGCAGACACGTAGAACTCTTTAGACACAATAGCAATGAGCATAGCACGGGTGCATGAGCAGCTTTACTCATCACTCACATCAGCTCTCCCACTGCACTCGTATACCCCCTCAATAATGGCCTTCCGCATGGCTCGGACAATTCTAAAATGAAGACATAAAAACCATTGTAAATTATGCAAAATGCCATTCAACTTATTTAGCGCATGCTTAGAAATGCAGTCTTTCCCCACAGGGGCAAAGCTTGCAAATCATGGTTAAAACAATATTACAACCAAGCACTGCCTTCCACTCATCTATGATTACTGAAACGTTTAAACCTCATTTCTGAAGCTCATGGCGTGTTGATTGAGCTGCTTACAAACATCCTCTTTGAGGTTTATTATACTCACATTGTACCAAACAGCATGAGCACCATAAAACATTGTTCTGAGATTGTATATATTATGAGCCATGCTCGTTATTCCATACCCACCCAGTTTTAGTATTTTGTGGAGACCTGGGAGGATTGGTGACTCAGTGAATAACAGACTGCGCTATGAACCCAGTGACCTGAGGAGTCTGAGTCCCGATACTCTGAACCAGACCAGGCTGCTCACCCTTAACCAACTCCCACTAACCATTAAGGTGAAGTATGACCAAACAACAACCCGTCACCGAATATCACGGTCGGCTACGTACGGTGTGAAAGAAGTTCAACATGCAGTCTGTTCTCATATAACGCTGCATGATTTCATAACAATAATTGAATATAACGCGATTAATGTATTAGGGAACACATTTTTTATAACGCGACTTGGATATAACACGATCGAGTGAACGGGACTACGTCGCAGCGCGAGTAGGAATAAGCGTTCGTACGGCTGCGTCGGCGTAGCATCATCGCACAAGGTGGTGGGATGCTGCTGGATGCTTCTCGTACCTACTCGCGAGCCTCAGTCTTTCTTCAGCCTGCGTACGCATCTCACGTGCTATCTCGGTTAATTCGCGTTGTCAGTATATTACTTATTAAAAGTAGATTTTTCCATAAGGCGATGTTCTTCAGGAACGCAACCACCGCCGCGTTATAGGAGAACGGACTGCACACACGTACGGGAGGCCTTCATCCAACAGTGGAATGACAGAGACCTGCGATTTAGTCGTTATTTTAACATAGCTGTTGACACACTGACCTGTTGTGTGTCATTATAGACGGAGGTAATGACCACCACCTTGGCCGCTGTCGAGGTCTCGTTCTCGTTGATGGCCGCGATGTGTTCGGTGTTGGGCGGGTTTGGTGTTGCACAGTTGTGGTTGCCCATCACGCCTTGGTCCTTTCTTGCAGTGAACAGATAGATGGCGCTTTCTGATGGAGTTACAACATTTTTTGATGTTAATAAATACAGCACGCAAACCGGTTGTCTTTTATCACTGCACATGCGCGTGCAATCCTTTTGATCAAAAGTTCAAGTAAAAATAACAGCCACCTATCAGGTCATTAATTTCAAATCAACTGTTTAACTTAATCTCGCACATTTCACAGTCCCATTATCACTAGCAGTACCATTCCAAGCATCTCACCATATTTTCCATTTTAAAGCACACCATGAAACACGTTCAAAGAGATTCGTTTTGTTATCATCTGCAAAGGGACATTGTTTTACTAATCTAAATAGAAAAGTAATTACAACGCATTGCCATACACAGCCCTTTATGGAAACGTTTCTAATTTCCCAATTTGAGCAGTTACATCAGTTGTTATCAAGATTCGTGTAATTGTGGCGAGCATGTGGTTTGTTGACATTCGGCTGTTTGCTACCTTTTGGTAAATGTCACAAGCTGAAATGGCATGGTTCCACCCAGATTTTTTTGTCAATCCAATATAATTCCCGTAAATCATTACATGCCCTGTGCATGAGTAAATAATTGTTTTAGCCGACTAAGGACTTGGATCCTCATTAAATGCTAAACCTCCATTCTCCTAGCCAGAGAAGGATTAATGTTTGTTATCAGTTGAAACATCGAACGGCATGAGGCTGTTCAACTCCCATTCCCTGTAACTTGATTGTATGCATAAATAACTGCTGCATAGCAATTTTACTGAAATAGCTGAGCTCAAATGCTCCCTTATCTGTTAGATGTAATAAGGGCTAAAATTAGGCTGCAGATGAGTGGTGGTGTAGTGGTTCACATACTGTATGAGTCCAGCAACCTGGCAGAACCTCAATGGGGGTGATATCCAACTCAGAAATCCACATTCACCAGTGTGGCGAAGTATGGTGAAAACAACTCCCATTGACAGACATCGTGAGGAGGCCTTCATCCAGCAGTGGATTGACAACGGGTTGTAAATTATTATGAATCACCAGGCTACACGTTATTTGGAGGTCTGCATTCCTTCCTTCATTTTATGAGTATTCAAGTGATATATCATCTTCATAGTTTGTTTTGGACTTCATATTGTTTTCTGGTTTTCCCATGAAATTACACACACACTGCCGTAGCAATGCCGTGTGGACCAATTGGACTCGATAAACATTTTGTCTTGATGGATGAGACATTGTGCACCTCTGGCAAGCACGGTCCATCTGTATTAAAGCGTACACATTGCGCAGCACTACCACTACCACTTGCCAATCTTTCTGTGCTGCAGTAACCGTTGCTCATTCTGCTTCCCTGGATCCTCTCACCACAGCCTCTCCTTACGCGTCTCAGTCTATTGCCTCGCCCGTGCTCTCCATTGCATTCAGCGCAACTATCAAGAGACACGAGAGCCATTGTCTATCACAACTTCAACTGTGCAGTGCCATTGGCTGCTGGCTGCTTGGTGCTTTGAGCCCTCTGGGCCTGTGCTCGCCAGCTGTGATTTCAACCTCTGCCAGAAACCAAGTTTCTCCACCTCCTCCTCAGGCCCTGCTCGTTTGAACTCCCCGTTCTCTTGGCCGATGCTGGGTGATGATCAATTCTCTCGACTCTGAAGCCCATCCTGTTTGTACTCTATTCGAGCGTAGTTTGTTCTCCTACCACCTCCCAGCACAGAACTTTTTATTTTCCTTCCGATGCTGCTGTGGCATAACAGCACACTGACTGGACTTGCAATCCCAAGGTCGCCCGTGTGATCTTCCCGGCATAGGGAAGTTTATGTTTTTCCAATAGCTCTTGTCTCTGTTTACCCAGCTTTACAACTGGGGACACCGCGGTTAGTCGACCAGGAGGAAGCGTCCAGGAGGGTGGCATGAAGTGTGGGTAATCGTGCCCCTTCCAAGATGTCTGACTAGCGTGGAAGGATAGGCCAAAACATCCTCTATAGGGATTTCTTGCATCTAAACTGGACCCAAAGAGAGACCAAAGATGATGAAAGATAAAGGTTGCACATAGAGGAAGACTTGATGCAGGCAGTGATGAGAAGGAAACTGTCATTGTTTGGACACACATGTAGGATGGAGAACAACAGGAGAATTAAAAGTGTTGTTGTTCGGAGAAATGGAAGGAAACGGAAAGAGAGGAAGACCTCACAGAGAGCGGCGTGACGACGACGACGACGACATCACAAGATGGGTGCCAGCAAGATGTGGCACTGCTTGAGCATATTGGCACCAGCAGACAGAGAGGAGGAAAGTGGACACAAATGACGAGATGTGCGGTGGACACCGACTACGGGCTATCTGCCCATGGATCGCGATGATGACGATGACAGGGAGCTCCTTCTGTCAGCAGTGGCATGAACAAGCAGTTGCAGGGCCCCCAGCTATTCAGAGCCTCGTTAATGTGGTGTAGAGGGCCGGCTTGAGAGGGACTCACTCAGGCAGGGGTTGTCCGTGAAGAGGCCCAGCAGGTACTGGCACTCGTCCAGCTTGTTGCCACTGCCGTCGCACGTGCACCACGGCGACACCGCCAGGCTGGTGTTGATGTAGTTGGGCGTCATGACCGTGCCTGGGAACGCACAACAACAAAGGTGCAGCAGCGTAGCAGCGTGGTTGTTGCATGCACCCTGCCCTGGCACGAATAATGAAACGGAGCCCTCTGTCAGCTTTGCTGCCTTCTTCATCGCGCGGTGCCCGGGCCACGGGACAGCTGCACCTCCCGCACACTCAACGATAGCGACGCCACTGCCCTGAATGGCAACGCGTGCCTCTCGCGACTGCCGGCATCGCGAAGACAACGAAGATTAATAGCGCGTCGCAGTTCATCTTGAAGCGTCCATCATCCGTCATTAGCGTTGCACAAAACACATTTCGCCATTACACAATAAAATGCTGCTTACAACTGAAGCCTATTGATTTTTTAGCATTTGTTAATTATTTAAGGCAGACGTTCCGAGAGACACTTGATTCTAACGCGTGCCTTTCCTTGCAGTTATCAATTATAAATGTATTACTGCAGCACGTGTTTTCGAGATACTATTATGTCAACAATGTTCCTTGTAGGTTGTCATTGCAGTGACTCATCGAGAACGTGGCGGTGTTCCGGCGCTGCATACCGATGAGGCCAGTGTAGGCGTAGAGGCATCGTTTGTAGTTCTCTGACTCGCAGCCAGCACTGCAGTAGCTCACTGGAGCACAGTTCATCCGGAAGTCATCCAACCGGGATCTGGAAAAAGGAGGCAAACAGCTTAATAATTGCAAACCCCCAATGCAAATTTGAAAACGAGGACATGACGTCCATAATAAAGTAAAACTGCGTCCATATTTTTTGGGTTAAATCGCGTAAATATGAATGTGTCGTTAAACCCGCCATGACCCGAAACAGCCAATTAGTAAGATTTGTCACGTAAACAACACGTGCCAATTAGTGACTACTTCAGCACAGCGGTGCGTTGCTGAGTAAACCCACAACATCTACAATTCGAGTACGACTGTGGATTGGACTATCGAAGATAAAGGATCCAGGGGCACAGTTTGTCTAACACGGCAATGTGATCCTGTGCCACGCAGTGCCATTATCATGGTCAATACTCAACGAATCATCCTCAGAGCTGTGATTCTTCCATCACTTCGTAGCCGTCTTAGATGGCTGCAGTAACAGTTATCTCGACACTGTGCAAGCCAGGGGCTTGCTGCTGCGAGCGAATGGTTCCCGGTGCTTACTGGGTAGATTACAGACCAGATCCATGGTCCGTTTGTCCCGGAAAAGAGGAGTTCTGCTGTACTGCAACTATATTAAATCTATCCAACCACTGGATACTGACTCGCCACTGAGTCTACTGTTCATGCACTACTGTGTAATTAACGGTTCGATCATCATCATCAGCAGCATTCATGTCACCTTTTTGAAAGACGAAAATCGTGGACTAAAACACACGCACACACACACACACGTGTGATTTTTGTATTCTTAGGTTTTTTTCGGTAAAGTCAGGTAGGTAAAACATTAAAATTAATGATTTTTGCCCAAATTATTGTGGATAAGCCATAATTCAACATGTGGTGGGTGTCTGGACACCCCGACAGGCACTCTGGCTGCGCCCTTCAGGCTCAGGACAGCAATGAATGAAGAAAGGACCAGGATGGCAGATGCCGCAAGTGTGGGGGGGGGGGGGGGGGAGTGTCAGTAAAGGAGCCCAGGGCTACCTGCACACGCGGTCGTGGAGGCATTTGGCACGGAGGTTGAGGCAATTGGGGCGCTCCTTCTGCTTGTAGGAGCACTCGGGCATGATGGTGAGGCGGCGGCGGTCCTCGCAGTTCTCCGTGCTGCAGGTGCAGAAGAGCAGGCTGCGGCTTCGCACCACCGCCACGTTGTCGTAGAAGCGCCGCAGCGCGACGTGGCACGCCTCGCGGTCGCACGGATTCTCCGAGGGCTGCATGCACTTCATGAAGAACTCGGTGCGGTGCGACTGGCACGAGGCGTTCTTGTTGCATTCCGACGTGGCCATCACGCAGTCCATCCGATCGTCGGCCGTCACGCCCGTCTCGCCCTCTGTCGGAACGGTCAGCGGCGACACACGGGGGGGGGGTGGTATAATCTGCTTTCTTAGCTTGTTCGTATTTCGCCCCCCTCTGCGCTACTCCGGTTAGCACGGTTGGCTACGTACGGTGCGAAAGAAGTTAAACAAGCGTATGCATCAATCAGAGCGGGAGTGTGCAGACGATATCTACAAAATAGGACCTTTTTTCCAGTATTAAAGAATGAACAAAAACATAATATAGGTTTTACCCTTTCTGGAGCTCCATTAATAGAGATCCCTCTGCCAGCAATGACGTGAGCAAGGCATTGCAAGGCTGCATCTTTACACCTTTTGCCTTACTTACAAGGTTCCACCATGGTTTTTTTCTATACCTAAAATTAGCTATATATGTCGTGTCCAGCACATACTAGACGTGAACTTTGATATTGCTGCTGTGAAATAAAATTACTAAATATGTAACGTGAATGCCTGATATAAACTTTCAGAGTGTTTGTCGAATAAGAATTTTATATGAAGATCAATAATAGATGGGCAATACGAGATTTATCAAAATGCTGTTCGCGACATTTCGCTCGTTTGATGTCTTTAAAAGAGAGGCCGAACTGTATGCAAGGCTCGTAACTTCCGAGCGAGGCCGAAGGCTACATCCCATGTATCCTTCACAGATGTGCTGCCAAGACAAACACATTCTGTCATCGTCGCTTTGATATGTATGAGTGCATCTCCTCCAGGCTGGGTGGAGAGCGTGGGCCCCCCTTGCTCTGTCCTCCTGTAGCTGTTCCCCTACGCATTGATGTGCCATTCAGGGGCCAACCCCACTTTGTTTTTGATCACCGAAGCGCTATACGCGATGTGATTAAAATGAAAATTCTCTCCCATCGGGAATGTAACTAATAGCCTGTTAGCCTAATTGAAAGTGACAGGGAATATAATGGGGGTACAGTATTTATTTATAGGGGATTTTTTTTTTAATTTAGAGGGTTTTATTCGTGCGCGTAGCATTGTATACTGGACATGAGTTATGCATATACAGTGCATGTACGAAATTGTCTGAATAGCAATACCCGCACACACACTCCAAAAATAAAACCCCAGACAAAATGTTTCTGTTGTTCAAGTGCATCCTCGTCTGTCTCCTGCTGCGAGCTCCTAGAGGACCTGTGAGTACCACTCCACCATATCGATCACCGATGATCCCCCCCAGGGCATCTTTGGTCCCAACTGAAACGCGACCCGGCCAGACGGAACGCGCGCCCCGCCGCTGCTGCGGGAAGCGTCGACGATCGCTCCGGCTGGCGGTCTGTGCTAAAGAACTTCACAGCTCATCGGATTCCTCCAGTCGAAGTAAATATTCTGATTCTGCGTCCGCGCACGTACTCCGGCATCGCCGCGGGAAATATCCAGCACGCGACGAGCTCTCCACGCATCCACGGCAAACAGCACTCAGCAAAGCTCGTACCAAATCTGGCAACTGAATTGAAAACTCATTTGTTAAGAGCTGCTTGTTGTGTTTAGTTTGTTGTCCCTTCCCCGCACCGCCGATTAGCGCGGTTGGCTACGTACGGTGCGAAAGAAGTTCAACATACATACATGAAGTTCAACATACAGACAGTACATACGTACAATGCCAGTGATGATGATGATATGATTTATTTAATCGGCTAAACAACTCCTGGCTCTCAGCTCAAGAATTAGCATCGTAGCCTCTTGTCTCTTTGAGCCATCTGCGTTGAATCGCTCATGCAAGGCTGGCCCATCCAAACGTGGAGGTGACAATCAAAAACTAGAAGCTGATGTGAAGTTGAGAGCTAAGAAATGTATTGAGGCCGAAACCCGTCATCTTGAAATAAAAACAGTTCCAAAACGTAGAGTGCAGAGCATGCATAAACTATATCCAGACGTAACCTATTAGGTTCGTACTCCAAGTGTCTGCTACGCCGTATTGATTTTGTGATGTGAGATATTTTCTCAAGTAGATTTCGTCGGATTTGAGCTCAGTTCAGGCGTGCGAGTGAGGCAGGATTCCATCAAAAGACGCCGTCGAGTGTAACAAGCGAGAGGCTGGCTCAGAGTTAAAGCGATTGCAGATGTCCACATGACCCTGGCAAATGTGTTTTTGTGTTGCATAAGTCATTCAAATTGTGAAGGAACAAAACTCTATGTATTTTGGAAAGACCAGCCACTAATTGTCCATCGAAGCAAGTATGTCATGTTTATTTTCTGAACTGTAATTCACTGCATCATCACCAGCCATGTTCAAGCCACTGCTGGATGAAGGCCTCTCCTCACTACCACTACCTCTCTTGATCTGGCCATGTAGGAATCTAACCAGTGCCTGCACATGAACTGAATTCATCGCGCAATCTACTCGGTGATGTCCTATCCGACGGATTACATTCCTTGGCTGACCCTCTGTTATTATTCTTGAACATCGGCCATTCTATAAGTGACCTGGCTTGCCCAAACCCACTTATCTTTCTCAACAGTTAATAAATCACTAAGCGGCCCGCGCATATTCTACAATCCACGTAATCCTCTCTCTGCCTCTCAGTGCAATTACAAGCATGCATCTCTCCATGATTCTTTGCACACTTTACAAGTTTAGTTCCATATGTTTCATGAATGGCTATACGTTGCGTATTGCCACATACACACACCGTCAATGTCGTGCGCAGATGGGTACTAATATCACAGGACTTGAGCGGAGACATGGCTGGGTTCTTGTAACATGGACATCCTTAGTCAGGACCTATAATTTGCACAGCTCCATGACAGCAATAATCAATTAATAGCATAGTTCCATTATTCAACCGTTTGCACAGTAATGAATTTGCATCCAATTAATTAAGAGAACAGCACATAATAACTCTTCATGAAACGTGGCGATATTTCCATTTGCGAAAGTAAAATGATCTTTGCACAGAATACTAATAAGAAGAGACTTTATTGTAACCTGCCATTTCTTTGTGTGTACGATATACATTGCACTGAGCAATAAGAGCAGATTGCAACTTGGCATCCGCATTGTGATTGGTTTAAAAGGTTTGCATCATTGTGTGTATTACAGAAAATTGCATACGTATGTTTTCTTTGTATGTACGTGACTCTCTTCAACTTGTGAAGAGTTTCACGTGGATCGAGGTAGTTTCAGCGATGATTGTGCGTCGGAGCTCAATGGATCGTTGTGCCATGAGTCAATGAGGGATGGCGATTGGTTGGGGAGGCCTTCAACCAGCAGTGCATTGATCATGGATGATGATGATGACACAACTGAGACCTGAAATACCAAATTTGAAAACAAAATATTCCCCAAAGCAATTGCTCAGGTTCCCATTTGGCCATTGCTGCTTCTCCCCTGGTTCTGAGTGTTGACATCGATTCTCCTCTCGGTTGTGCAAAGCATAAGGAGACGCAGCGATCGTCCAAGTGGGAGGATTGTTTTGTTACTTACAACGCAGTGCTCATGATAGCAACAACAATAGCCAAAGATTCCTGGGGGCGACTGGAGCTGCACGACTTACCCAATTGAAGAGGGATGTAAGGCGTATCCTGCATGTCGTCATCTGCAAAGAATATGGCTTCACGTTAGTCAAAGGCAACATTCCAAAACGCGAATTAATCACAATGTCAAGAGCACAACCTCGGCAACCTTAATTGTAGCAATATAGCTGAATAACATCTTTCAAAAGCAAACAACAAGATGTTATTTCCACGTGATGTTGTGTTTTATCGTCTGTTTAATTCCATCTATCTACCTGCATGCATGCATTTATACCCGCAAAGTAATTATGTCAAAATATAAGTCTGACATGCACACAAGGCAGCTAATGTATAGTGCAAGCAGGTGAGATAACCCATCAAGTCGATTCATCAAGGGGTTCCTGACTTATAAAGGCGAAGACAATAATGAAGACAACTGCACGAAGACTGAAAAATAAACGCTAAACATCCTCACCCAGACTAACAAGCACATCTAAAATACTCGTTTAGCACGTATGTGGTACATGCGTTGCACTCTACCGTACCTCAGCCTGGATCCTGCATGGACGCGCAATCACATATGAGCCAACAGGTGCTATAGGCTTCTGCGCGACTACGTTATGGCCAGCAGAGGGGTAGTGCAGCACAATCCACTGTTGTTCCGTGCTATGCTCTGTATATGCCACATCTATGCTCCTTACCTTGACCAATGTGCACACTTGCACATTTCATACAGCATTGTCTAGAAGCCTCAATGTCTGTCCGTGTTGGTGGTTCCTTCTCTTATGGGCATCTGCTCATCGGCAGGAACGGGCACGAAGCCTCCCGAGGCCTGATTGCGTCCCACTGTCGTTACCCACCAGCTGGGCTCGGGTACACATCCACGAAGGCAGCGTATGGCAGCAATTTGAGAAACATCTTTAAACGCTTTGGATTGAGATACAGGTCCAATAGGTGGCTGCGAAATCAGAGGGCCGCACAACGTGTTCTTCCGACCACAGGGACTTTGTGCAACTAGAAACCTACAATCGTGTTCTCTAATTAGACCCCGCTGTTGTAAAACAACGGGGTCGTCACAGTAGCAGCGCAGGTAAGTCACGCAGGAAGGAAATTGATAACAACAAAATCAATCTACCGTGTGTATAATTACGTCACACTAACGTGGCAACACTTTGTTTCTACATAGGTCTTAAGTGTCTTGGGAGTGGTGGTGCAGTGGCTCGCGCACTGCCCTACACATACAGCATACCTGAGTTCGATTCCCAGCCACAGTTATCATTAGTACGGTTGCCTACGTATGGTGCGAAAGAAATTCAACTCAGCCTTAAGTGAGTACCTGGTGTTAAGCTAGTCGGGTTGCCACCTGTCCTGATTTTCTGACAAAAATCTATAACTTTAAAAGTAACGTTTTTGACAGATGCTAATAACACACCACTCAAGACAACGCATTTGCAGGCAGCTCTCCCATCTGCAGGTCTTGTGAGAAATGCATCTTCTTCCCATGACATATCCCGGCTAATTGTGTCTCACAGGTGGCAACCCTTGGTGCGAGCCAAACCACCCCCACTCGTGCGCCATGCCGGCTTTATTCTGTACAGCGCTTGCCCCAGCAGTCTATGTAGGCTACACAGGTAAGCTTTTTCTTTGTTTCTTTGTGCAAATGCACAACAACAGCCGCCGTTCGAAATTACGTGATGGTGATGTCACCACAACGTTTGTGCCAGGCTAGGTGTGCTTTGAGGCCACGCAAAATGTCGAGGATTTGCTGGCAGGAGGTAACGTGGCAGAGGGTTGACTGAGACAACTAGGAGATGCACCATCTGTGTCCCCCACTCGTGCCTGCACACGGAGACAGGATGCCCCATGGAGCCGTCAAAAGACTTTTGTTAGCGAGCACCTATGAAGGCCGGCACGGCGTACGAGGGGGTGGCGTGGCAAACACCATGCCCAGGCCGCCTTTGTCTCCCAAGTACATTGTCTCTCCAGCCACCTTTATCTCCCCTGGTTTACATATTCCACCAGATACTCATTTAAAGCTGAGTCGACCTAGGGGAACCCCGGGACCGGTTCAGATAATCGTCACCGGTGTTGGCCGTGAGCGGAAATCGAACTCGGGTCGCCAGGTTCGTAGCGCAGTGTAGCGCTAACGGCCACACCACCGCTCCCCCAATGCCACACGCACAAAGATGCGCACACGTGGGTGGGTGGGTGCGCGCACACGTGGGTGGGTAGGTGCGCGTGCACGTGGGTGGGTGGATGCGCGCGCACATCAGTGGTGGGTGCGCGTGCACGTGGGTGGGTGCGCGCGCACGTGGGTAGGTGCGCGTGCACGTGGGTGGGTGCGCGTGCACGTGGGTGGGTGCGCGCGCACGTGGGTAGGTGCGCGTGCACGTGGGTGGGTGCGCGTGCACGTGGGTAGGTGCGCGTGCACGTGGGTGGGTGCGCGCGCGCGCAACCTTGCTCGAAGCTGCTGTGCATGGTCCAGTAAATCTTGAGGCAGCGCTGCTCGTTCTTCTCCGCGCGCTTGCACTTGCAGCCGTAGATGGGCTGCGACTGCAGCGCCATGAGCGCGTCCATGCAGTCGGCGCCCGCGCGCCCCGGGGAGCCGTGCACGCACGCGTCCAGGCTGCGGAACGACTGGTTGCACGCCGCCTCCGCCTTGCACAGCCGCAGCGCCGCCGAGCACTCCACCCAGTCCTGCTGCTGCTGCTGCTGCCGCGGCTGCTGCTGCTGCTGGTGGCTCGCGCCGACGCTGCACACTGCGGGCACAGCGTGGCCACGGACATCGTTCTCATAGTCTCAAGGCTGTGTTCGTCAGGGGGGTCCTCGCTCATAATCTCAAGGCTGTGTTCGTCAGGGGGGTCCTGCCGAGGTTTTCGTAGTCGGGGGGTGAGGGGTAAGGGGGTGCTGTGCGTAATCCCGTTTGAGTACATTCGCAGGTAATTGTTGTGAGCACTGGGGATAATTTGGCCAACACCAGTGAACATTGTGTGGAGTTTCTTATGATCTGTAGGAGGAAACCGGAGACCCTAGAGGGAGCCCATGCAGAACAAGGTGAGAAGGTACAGACTCCTGGGTGCCGGTCCACGGCTTGGGGAAGCCTTCATCCAGCAGTGGATTGATCATGGCAGATGAGGGTGATGGTTTCAAACATAATCATTGCCTGGCCCATGGGTGGCTGAGATGTCCTCGTGGTCAGAGCGCCCAACACTGGGACTGGTCTCTGCTTTCGTGCACTCAATGGGTTGATTCATGCCGTTGCGGAGTAATTGTCGCGTGGAATTGCTCCTAAAGTGTACCATCTGTCATGAAGTGGATGTGAAGGTCTATGTTACATAAGTTGCGAGTTTTCTGATGCCATGGCCTGAACAATTCACAACTGCCAAATATATGCCGTGTAGATGAATGTTTGTGTGTAATGTTATGCCACATTGGTGTTTCATTTATGACACTATCCTGAAGTTTAAAATGAACTGCTTGTTTGAAAATATGTGCTGCTCTTAAATACTGTTTTACCATGTGGCCGTGTTCCTAATATATAAATGTATACTGCAATGTGGCTGACAGCTTTTACATTTCTAAACTGTTTAAAAACAAAATCACGGGGATTTGTTTGTTTTGTATTCTAAATATATTTGGCGTGGAGGAGAAGGCACAGCAGCTGACTCCAAATGCAGGACACGGGAAGTCAGACACAGCCTTCTCTTATGAGAGTTCACTTAATCTCTCGGATTTTCAATAAAAACTATGGAAGATTACCTGCAGCTCCAATAAGGGAAAATGTAAATGAGTGTGTGCCTTTAAACGTACAGCTGTACTTCTGTTGATGATGTTGACATTTGCACCAATCAATCGACTCTAAATGGACCAGCGCAATCTGCTGTTCTCCCAACACCCAGGAAGGTGTTTTTCATCAACATCATCATCTCAAAGCATGTATTGCTTTGTGCCAGTTTTGAAATCAGACAGCTAATTCCCAGACTCAATACTGGGGTGCCTAGCCACAGAAAAATTCGGGACTATTTATATTGTCCCAGTCTTCTAATTAAATCATCGCAGCTTTTATCCATATTTGGCTCTGATAATGTAACACTGGCAGTTAGTGGGCTGCTCAGGGTAAGGTGCTAATGCTACATTTGAGCTGAAAAACACCCGAGCCCCTTAGACAAAAGCGCTAGCAGCACAGCCAGCACCGTCCACTCTGTAGTCAAGTCATAGGATGTGAATGTGTGTTATTTATTTACATGTGCAGGGTGGAGCCGTGGGCACTGATTAGCACACTGCACTATGCACCTGGTGACCTGAATTTGATTCCCAGCCACGGCTAACACAATTGGAAAGTGATATCTGTACCGGAGAGGACCCCACTTCATGCAACTTAAAAGCGTAGCATGATGAAGTATGTTCAAACAACCCTCTGTGGCCACATGGGGTGGGAGGGGTGCTCCTCATCCAGTAGTAGGTTGGCAACATAATAGCAATGTACCGTATTAACAATCCAGAGAGTATACGAGAATAGGATACTGTTAAATAAAACCCACATTTAAAAGAAATGCTCTTCTGAGCAACTGCTGCACACTCACACACACGCGCGCGCGCAAAACAATTCACCATCTCAAAATAGCGGATGGCCATCCTGCAGCCTTGGCAGTAGTTCAAGTATTAGTAGGCAGCCCTTTCAGATCTCACGGAAATTGCTATATCCTGGATTTTTGCCATGGCGAAGCTATGGATAAAAATGCTGGTGCCCGCACTGCCCAATTGAATTCTCTCCGTCTGAGGCCGCAACTACTGCGACTGTTGAAACTAAACAGGACACCCTCTTGTGCACAACGCAAACGCCTGACACGCGTACGCTCGAGGCAACACCCTCGGTTAATAATGTATGGGTACGGCACCAGTGACTCCCCGATATTCATCAGGCCACTTATAATGTGACTCACTGGTTCACAATGCGCTGATATGTCACGTGCGGCTCTCAGTTGAGAACACTTCTGTTCTGGAGCTTGTGATTACTCTCGGGATTTTGTGTAAAACTGGTGGTGTTGGAGGGAATAAACTGGCGTGACATATAAATCACTGTCTTTGCTTCGCCGGTGGCTGAAAGGGAAATACGAGCTAATTGGGTGGAATGTGAAATAATTGGTAGCTGGAACACATGCAGCGCATTCTCAGAATTTGTAATTGTCTGAGAAATTATTAACTAATTGGTAGAAGACGTATTTTTTTAATGTCAAATACGGTTGGGGCAGAACATGTCGCTAGAAGGCACAATGGTAGACGGTCAAGAATTCTGACGGAGTGGCCAAGGAGTGGAACGCGTCAAAGAGAACAACAATTGAAGGAGATGGAGCAACGAAATCAGCTCGTGTGCTGCAGGTGCCGGATGTAGAATCGCATCGCAGGGTCGTGAGAGACGGTGGAGGTTTATCAGGATCTTCATCTAGCAGTGGATTATGATGGTGATCTTTTAAAACTCTGCTTGTACAAAATATGGCACGTGGCTAAAGGATGCTTATGGAACCAATGCAAGTTACACAGGTAGTGCATATATGTGGGTCCTATTGAGGAGAGGATAAGTGCACACAAAGGACTGAAACATTTCCCTAATACTACACTTGACATTGCGAGAAGCCCCGAGCGCTCGCACGTCACCCTGAGGGCTGTATACGCGACTTGCGCTGATATCACGTTTCTTAAAAAAAAACCCAAGACATTCTTGGAATAAGAAGTGGTATAATAAGGGACATTTGTTTCAGTCATTCAACGGGACATTAGCCTATTACAACATAGCATTTATTTACGGCGATTTAAATTGTGTTATAGCTATTGTATAAAGTACATGCGTAATCAAATCATTGGAGGTTAAAAATAAAATTCTACGAGGTATAATACACGAGATGGAAAAGTTTTTATAACAACGCAGCCTGTGAGTGAGTTTACATTAAATTACCTCATTAAATTATATTATGATCAAGACCATCGTGAATATATGGCATTTACATGCCATGTCTAAAGCCACTAACAAAAAACTAAAGAAAACAACAAATTTCGATGTAAAGCTTTCGTGACTGCAGGGATTCATATTCTTGGTTCTTTCGGTAACGTCACGTAGAAAGAACCAATAATAAAGAAAACAACAACAGACTGCAGAGTTGATCGAGAACGTGTGCGTCCATGAATTACTCCTTTAGAGCATTCTAACATAATGTTACAGTCCTTGCTTAATCCACTGCTGCATGAAGACCTACTTCACACTGGTTAGTGCTGGTTGGTAAAGCTGGGGGTGTGCAGGACTAGTTCCACTGGCCGCTGATGTGAGCCCGCGGTCGGGAATCGAACCGAGACTGCCGTGTTGGCGGCACAGCGCGCGGACGATCTGCGCGCCACCGCTCCCTCTGGCGCGCGCAAGAGTCAGACCGTTACCTCTGCACGAGTCATCGTGAATTATATCATTGCGAGAGTGAAATTCGCCCGTAGCCCCCCCCCCACCCCATGCTTACAACGTCTACTGACATGCAATTTTAATTGCTCCGTATATGGACACAGCAAACTGGTGCGTTTAAGTGCAAAACAAATATTGGGATGGATGAAAAAAACAGAGAGAGGGGAGAATAAGAGAGAGGTAGGAATAGATGGATAGACATGTGGATGAATAGATGCATGAATAGTCACATTGACCGGTGGATTAACAGACTGGTTAATAGACATGTGTAGAGACGGATGGATACACTGATTAATAGACAGACGGATGAGTAGATAGATGGACAGAATTGATTATTTGACACTGCATTAACATACAGACGGATGATTAGCCGCATGTATGAACATAGTTTATGAACAGGAGTATGAATAGACGGGTGAATTGACGACCACACGAAGAAATTAGATGGATTTCGCCCACAGCACAAACATTCGAGGATGAACACATTTTGTGAGCAGATGATTGATTTGACAGTCGGATGAGTAGATGAATTTTATACCTACGTGACTTTACCGAAATAACCAAAGAGTATGGATCCCTGCAGACAGGAAAGCATTGAATCAAGAATGAATGGGAAGATTTGATAAATCCGTTTAAATTAATAGACAGACAGAGGAATAGCTCCATGGCTGGATAGACAGCTTTGGTGAATAGACGCTTGCATTCATAGACACGCCTGGGTGAATAGACAGACGGTGAACAGATGTTAAGAACGGCTGAAGTCAGACAAACTGAATAGACAGCTGTGAGTGAGAGGGAATGCGTGGGACAGCACGGAGCTACTCACGCACTGAGACGAACACGAGCAGGGCACAGGCGACAGCGCACATATTGAGACGCATCGCGAGCATCTTCATCCTCGTCCTCCCTGCGCCGAACCACCAACGTGAACCACCAGCAACCAACACGAGCGAACAGCAGCGAACAGCAGCGCGCCAGCAACTTTCACTTTGTGCTGTGCCGCTCGCTGGGAGCCGCACGCACTGAGCCCGCCTTTGTCGCAGCCAGCGGCTACAAGTCAACTCCGAACCAAAGCAACACGGCAAACACTAAATAATTGCACAAGCAGTCAACGAACAACCCAAGGGGCAGCGGGGCCCGTTGGTTCGACCGGCGAAAAGAGTATAATCTTGTTTTGTAGATTTGAGTGACTTGCTGCTGCTGCTGTAGCAGCTGTCTGCCTGAGATCGTAGAGCAGCCGATCTGAGCTGCCGGTGGTCAGTATCCGCAGACTGTCAGCCCTGCCACCCAGGGGCATGCGGCAGGTTCCTGTGCGCGCTGTGCTGCAATGAAGCGGGCTTCGGCAGGAGGAGTCGCGTCTTATATAGCGGCGGGGTGTGCGCGTGTGCGCGTACGCACGTGTACACACACACACGCGCGTGTGTACATGTCAATATGCGCATTGCCTCTTGCAGGGCATCATCGCGCCGCTACGCCACCTCCAGTCACTCTTCTCGCTGCTGCTGCGTCACTTGGCTCTTCACGTGCGCGTGACTCCGTCAGTCGTGACTCATTACGGGTGCTTTGCGATTAGTATTGGTGTATTATCGTATTAAGTGTGTGTATTGTTTTATTAGCTTAAGTGTGTGTGCTGAAATGTCAGGTCGGACTCCGGGAAAGCGTGGCCCGGAGTAATGAAGTCATTGTCGACAAAAGAATAATGATACGCCGCTGCATGCCGCGGTCTGTAAGACGCACGTGGACTGTACTCTGTGTGTGTGTCAAGGGGAGCGGTGGTGCAGTGGTTAGCGCTACGCTGCGCTACGACCCTGGCGACCCGGGTTCGATTCCCGCTCACGGCCAATGCCGGTGACGATTATCTGAACCGGTCCTGGGCCTCCGCTAGGTCGACTCAGCCTCAAATGAGTTACCTGGTTCGGTGTATAAACATCGCCATTGGGGAGACAAAGACGGCCGGGCGTGGTGCTGGTCACCCACTCTCTCGTGTACCGTGCCGGCCTTCATAGGTGCTCGCGAACAGCACTTGTCCCAACAGTGTTACAGGCTACACGGGGGATCTTTGTCTCTGTAGCAAAGACAAGCTGGGAATGGGTCCTGACAATCGGGTAAAATAAATCGCTTTGCGATGTCCCGTCGGCAGTGGTGCAACATCACAACCAATAAAAAAACGACTTCACCACTTATTCGTCAATGCTCCTTCTTGAGAGCACGCGTCGCGAGTGAAGCGTGTGCGTTGACTTCATTTAGACTGGACGCAGCTTTGTGGTGTACGAATGGTGGAAACGTAAGTTTCGATTGCGCCATCAAGCCAAGGTCCTCCTGGGCTTTGTTGGACCATACTTCACCAATTTGGTCAGCACTCACTGGTGAAGAGACGACTGTAAACCACTCAGACTGCCTGCCAAGCGCGATGTGCGGACCTCTGCTTCTCACAGCTCCCCTACACAGTGCTGATGGACGTATCATCATTACAGAGGACTACACGTTGTATACAGTAGTTATATGACAATATTACAAGGAAAAATCGCAACATTTATTTATACTGGAGGCATCCGATGAACATTCTGCATATATATTGTATATATACAGCTTTGTGTTTAGCCACGCCAATGTATAGAAACTGACAATGACCAAGAACAAACACGGGATCGCAGGGAGAATGATTTTCGCGAACCTAAACCGAAATTGCAGTAAAAATACCTGTGCACGTGTTAGATAACAGCCGCAGGCTAAACACACCACGTACAAGGGATGACATCGGCTCGTGAGATCGGGGCGTATCGGTGGCAAAATGTTCACTTCCTCGCCCGGTGTACAGGAGGTCGTGGGTTCGAACCCGACGTCTGGTGCTGTATATTTGGAGTTTGCGCGTTCTCCCGTGGGTCCTCCGGTTTTTCCCTCCACATTTAGAATCAACATCACGCGTTTAGAATATTCGGCCACTATAAATGTCCACGCGATGAGCCACTTTGTTGAGCTATCATTTGTGGCCAGGTCGCTTCTAAAAAATAGCTCTATAGCTCAGTGGGCCTTACCTGGTAAAAACAAATTGTGTGCAGATGCGAGGTGGATCACAGGATCGTGAGAGATGGTGATGGCTGATGATGATAATGATGAAGACTATAATTGTGTTACCGTTCCGCATTGTGCTTTCTTTGGGCGCTGTAGTGAGTTACTTTGCAAAAGTATATCTTGCATCTGAAAATATCATGAAACAACTTCAAATCGAATGATATTGTGGTGGGCAGATTGATGACACAGTGGTTAACGGGCAATCAATCCTCCGTCACTAAACCGAGCACTCCTCCATCACTAAACCACACTGACCTGCATGGTGAAGTATGGTGAAACAACTCCCATGACCCACGCTGCACGGAAGAGGCCTTCGTCCAGAAATAGATTGATGAACGATTTCTAATTTTTTGTAAATAAACAAATCTAATTTTAATGATAGCGAATGTCATTATTGATTTATAATTTAAATGCTAATGCCCATATGCATGCCATTGTGGTTGGTGTTTTGTACTAATAGTGATGTTTAAACAACTGTAATTTGTTCAGCATGATGTCTCATAGTTTGCAGCTCCTGGCCAAGCTGCCCGCATGCGGAGTCAAACCTTCCGCACATCACGTGACGCAAAGTGCAACCCGACAATGCATCTCAGAGCCGTGCAGCACAATCTCGACAAGCCTACGACGTCTGCAATTTGGTTCCATACCGAATATATGAGCCACATTCATTTATTACTCAAAACTGTCGTAATATATTTGTTTATGAGTCTATATTAAATGTGTTGTTGTTTTATCCTCCCCAAAAGCTGTTATTGGCAATCATTTTTCATTTTCCATTATTGGATGCAATTAATAATTCCAAATCATGGCTGCATGTCTTGTTAAGAACGAAACAAAGTGTACACCAGGAACATAAAAATAAGTCATATTCTGGTTATAGTTTTACAAACATGGGCTTTCAAATAAATTACACCAATCCACGACGTAATTTCATGCATAGCAGATTGGAAAATATTGGCAGCTCACTGCAAAGGGAGGGGATCAAACACCATGGCTCTGGTGATCGATGAGAAAAGAAAAGAAAATAACCTCTTCCCAGAAGACCAGCTGAGTTGTATTCGGCAAGTACCTGATTGCGCTGTTTGCCAAAAGCACTTTGCTGTGTATTGCCAGAGACTTGCCAGGCAAGGAGTGGTTTTTCCAGCAGAACCAGTGTATAGCAGTCAGGAGGGATTATTGGCCCTCTGGCGAGCTTGAGAGCTTTGCTTTTAGACGTCACGCCTTTGCATTCCTACACTTGACTCAGCTTGGAATTTTGAATAAATGTGTAAGTCTCGAGCATTAATGGTTTTTAAAAGGTGCTTGATGGCAGGCAAGTGAAGCATACGTTGTGCGCAGGAGAGCGAACGTGCACATCGCCGTAGGGTTGCTTGTTATATCGAATTATTAGGTCGCTATAGAAATAAATGTCTGTACAACGTCTGAACATGGTTTTAAAAAAAATAGCCAAAGCTGCAAAAGAACTCCCCGTGTTTAGCATAATTTGTATTTCATAAACTTGGAACAACAATGGTTAAATAAATTACAAGGCAGGTTTAAATGCCACAGTTTTTTTATTTGTTCATTTCATCTTTACAGCTGTAATACAAGATGACACAGGAGGAGATTGCCTGCAGGTTGGAATGCGAGCGATTTGGGCAGTTTGCGCAGCTGATAGTTTCATTCCAAAGCAACGTGGTCATTGTTGAAATGTACATTACAGACCCCATACAATAGTACCGCCTAAATTCAAACATTTTAATATTACTATAATAACTTATCCAGTCAACGAAGTGCTTTCGCAAAAAATAATCTCACAAAATTGATGTGGATATAATATGAAAAGCAATCATTTACAAAATAAATAAAAGCAGGTTAAAAGTCAGATTAATTGGTAAACAGTGATTGTGGATTTATTGTGGATTATGAACTAAAACTTTGTTTTGTTAAAAGCTATATTGTGGATTATTATTTTGTAGTTCAATGTTCAACATGAAATTAAGTGATTAATGGTGATACAGTATGATATTAAGAATTAATGAAACCAGCAATCGCATGTAACATATATACATTTAAATTTACGTAATGGCACACGCATAATACGATGCGTTTATCATATTATGCATCTATCAACCAATGCATAATTATTGTGGAATTTAGAATAAAAAAAAATCTGATGTCCTAATATGTATGCTTCAAACACAGACAAACGTTACAATTTGGATTGAAACTCGTGAGCAGTGAACGAGGCATGCTACATTTAGTACACTATCAATAAACACGGGAAAGTTATAATTAGATTTTTGGTCACGTCTTGAAAAAATACCTAAATATAGTCTCGCTGCTAACAATTTCTGCCGAATTGTTCATATTCCTAATTGTTCATATTCCTAATTGTTCATATTCCTAATTGCTCATATTGCACTGCCACGTGCTTGGTGCTGCTCTCCCCCCTTCTCTTCAGAAGCCATTTGGCTGTAGACAACAGCCTTCTGTTGTTGTTGTTGTTGGGTGATTGTGCCCTGACGGCTAGGATTTAACGAGTAGCCCACTTCCGTCGTCTTCACCGGCAGCGATGGGGCCGAGACCTTTGCTGTGGGTCCCACTGGAAGCTCTGCCTCGTCACGCGGCTTAACTCCGGTGGTATGGACCACTCAGACCTGGTGACAACGATGCACAAATATCAGTGTTCATCAGTCATATGAGTGCAAGGAAAAGCTACTGAGTTATGGGCCACAGTCCACTGAGTTGTTTAGTTGCCAATTAAGGTCGAGGCAGAGCCCAGCAATTACGTGGGTGGAAGGGCCTCCAAGTCGCGCACGTGACCTGCCAATTTACTCTGGTGTACCCAATCAGTTAATGTAAAACACAAGTTGCTTGTGTCAATGATAATCATCAACACCGTGAAAAACATGGCATTTGAAAATAATTATTGTTTATCACCCTGTGTCAATCCACTGCTGGGAAAAGTCGTCCCCACACTGTCAGCCATGGGATCTGTTTAACCATACTTCACCACGCTGGTCGGTTTGGGTTTGTGGACGGGGGTGCTGGAACCGGTTCCAATACTACTCGTCACTCATGTTAGCCGTGGCTTGGAATCGAGCTCAGGTCGTTGGGTTCATAGCGCACGGTGGGTACCGCGGTGGTGAGATGTTAACTAACTCACCGCATATACAGGAGGTCGAGGATTTCATCCCGACCTTGACGCCTGCTGCTGTATATTTGGAGTTTGCGTGTTATCTCCGTGGTCGCGTGGATTTTTCTTCAGGTCCTCCGGTGTTTCCATCCACATTTAGAAAAATGCCTTGAAAGTGTTTTTCTACTTAGAATTTG